ACCCGAGGTGTTTCTTGGAAAACATCGCGCAGACCCGGCTGAGCGCGGGGCCGCGTAATCGTCCTGGGGACCTCTTAAGACAGGGCCGGCCCCCATGGAAGAGTAATAGCTGTCTCTGGCAGGGCAGACGTGTCCCTAGGGAGCCGCACCAAGCTCTGAGGTGAGCGCACGTAACACGGACCGGTACCCTACGAAGGCGTCAGCCTGTGCGTCCCCCGGTGGGGTGGTTTTGGCTTATCTTGGGGGATGGGCCGGGAGAGCAGAGCACGCTGCCTGGGGCAGCTGTCCTGGGGCGGCTGAGGGCTGGGAATCCACAAGAAATACTGCCCGGTCTAGTGACTCCAAGCGTTTGAGCCATCCAGCTCCCCGAGCCGCTTTAAACCTGTGGGAGTGTTAAGGCAGAAGTGCTATGAGAAGGGGCATAGATGAAGTGACGGCAGAAAACATACCTGAATTACCTTTTACAAATATTAAACGTGACCGTTTTACCCTGCTCGGTCATGCATTGCTGCCTGCACGCATGCAGGAGCCAAAGCTCCCCAGTCTGTAAAGGGTGTCACGCAAAAGCAAAAGGAAAGGTCAGGTAAAGGCCGGGACAAGGTAGCTGCAGGAACCAGATTCAGAGGAGTTAAAAGAACAAGAGCAGGTCCATAAGTTTGGGAGATGAGTTGCATCTCCAGCTCTTTTCAAAGTAGGATGTTTTTCACTTTTTAAAGATTTAACAAGACCACCGGAGCCTTGAGTACTCCCAGATTATGGAGAGCAGAGTGTGTTTAGCGAACCTGGCAGACGAGACTGAATCCCAGCCAAGGAAACACAAAGACAGGGGAGAGGACAGGTCGGTTCAGCCTGCTGAAGGGAAGTTAGCTGGGCTGGAGAGGACTTCCAGGGTGGAAGGCAGCGTCCCCAGACTGTGGTAGGACTGATAGGATGAGAACTGAATGGAAGTGGCAGGCAGCAGCTCCCTGCGGGGAACCCCCCAGCCAAGCTCCAAAAGGGTGAGGAATCCAGTCTACAGGTGTAAATACACAAAGAAAGCGGGAGAGAAAGTGTTGAGGCGTGTGTCCTGCAGGCAGGCAGAGCAGGCACAGAGCCAAGAATGGCTTCCACTGCCACTAATGCTGCCAATGCCCATGAGTGGGGTGCCCTTGATCCCAGTCACAGCAGCTGCTGGTATCTGAACAGAGGAGGTTTGATAACAGTAATACCAGGCATTTAGGTCTGTTACGAGTCTTATACTTTGCTTTAAATATTTTGAATCTTTGGGGAAGTATGCTGGCCTGTGAAAAAAATGTCCCAAGTCCAGCTGGAAATGCTGAATTAATGAAGGTTAGTGCTCAGTTTCTGGTCTGAGTGTGGTGTACTATGGAAATTAAGCCCTCAAGAGAGGTTAATTTGGGAGGATTCCAGAGAGGGAAAGCAGCTGAGCTAATAAAAAAACCTCTGATCGTCAATATAGTGGCACAGGTGTGAGGGGGTCAAAAAAATCCAGATTAATAAACACTTCGGGTCAGTCAGGTTATCGGAAGTTAACTGATCAAGGTGAAGGAGACCGTCATCTTCTATACGAGACTAACTTCCACCCTGATCGCTCCCCATGTCCTCACATCCAAGCTATGAATCACGAGACTAACTTCCACCCTGAATGTCCCACAATGTCCCCATGTCCCCATGTCCTCACATCCAAGCTATGAATCGCACCTTGCTGGATCTTTTTGCATAATGTATCAGAGAGAATGGCCTTTCCCATCTGTCCACCCAGCTAAACTCTTCCAGCAACTTATATTTTTGCTTCCTCTTCTCTGTTTTTAACGAAGAGGACCCGCAACAATGCCATGCAGCAGACAGCTGGACCCTGCTCACCAGCCTTGCACCAGTAAAAAACAGAATAAAGACAGACACTCTGCCATGAGGTGATAAAAACCAAAGAGCCAGTGTGGGACAGAGATACCAAAGAGAGGGTATACACGAAAAGAGCTGCATTTTCAATGATCCTATGTCATGGTTTAACCTCAGTCGGCAACTGAGCACCGCGCAGCTGCTCGCTCACTCCCCCCCACCCGGTGGGATGGGGGAGAGAATTGGAAGAGCACAAGTGAGAAAAACTCGTGGGTTGAGATAAAAACAGTTTAATAATTGAAATAAATGATAATAATAATAATATGATAATAATAATAATAATACACAAAGCAAGTGATGCACAGTGCAACTGCTCACCACCCGCCGACCGATGCCCAGCCAGTCCCCGAGCAGCGGCCCCCCTGGCCAGCTTTCCCCAGTTTATGTACTGAGCATGACGTCACATGGTATGGAATGTAAACATCGGTGCGTTATCAACTTTGTTCTCATCCTAAATCCAAAACACAGCACTGTACCAGCTACTAGGGGAAGGAAATACTCTATCCCTGCCAAAACCAGGACATCCTACAATGCACTCCAGCCAGTAAAGCAACTAAACCTAACATTTTATGTTGTTACTACAGGATCAACAGGCTTCAACTGGTCTGTTGGCCATTTCAGCTGTCTTCTAGTTTTGATCTGGTAAAGTAAAATATCTTCAAATATGTTCAGGTCTTCACTTGTTAAATTGCTTTCACACACAGTCTGAAAAAAAAAAGATCAGCCCATGAAGACTTTTGTTCTTCAGTGTTTTTGCCCTTTGCTTCACTCTTCTCTCCCAACCGCTAGTTTTTCTTTTGCTTTAAAAGACTGAGGAGAAGCTTCCAATTTCTTAGAAAATGTTTCTTTGTGTTTAGCTTATTGCAAAGAAGTGACATTTCTGTAGGTTTTGTAGTTTATGATGACCTTTCCAAATTCTAAAGCATTGTGTCTAAACCATGATGAAGTTTTGTATTTCTACAATTTTGTGCTTGTTTTGATTTCCCTATTCTTTTCCAAAGTCTAAGAGTAATTTTTCATCCTTTGGTTCTGTCATACTGGGTAATATGCATATCCCTGTAAGTCTGCCAGTGATTTTCCACACTGCAGTGGTGTTGCTCTGGAGGTGAACAACATTAAATATAGAACTATATTGAATTAGTTGTTTTTGTGAGCCCGTGCTACACTATATAGATTCTGCATCTATTAGTGTTTTCTCAGAGATGCCCAGAACATTCTCAGAAGTGCCTTGTGCTGAAACCTAAAGGTTTTCACAAGAACCAGAAATTTCCTGTACTCACTGCCTTGTCTTTGATCAATTACTAATGTAAGGGGAGATTGAGGTGAAAAAGTGCTTGATCATCAGCACTAAAGTCACTGTATTTCCACAAGCCAACATTTCTGCAAAGTTATTAGGGTAGTCCACATTTTTCAAAGGTAGACAAAGTAAGTCTTGTGGAAGTACAGATCCATATCCATATATTATTTCTTTCTTCTTGAAATGACCACAGTGATCCCTTCTAGCATCACAATCTGGGCACACGGTCTGCAATTGCTATTTGCAAAGCCTCTTCTTCAGTTTTCTCCCAGATGTTCCAGCCTTTCCTCTGTCCCCCAGGCTCCACGGAAAGTCTGACGCAGCTTGAAACGGCATTCACATTCTCTTGGACCCAATGGTGACTGGGGTCCCGTGAGCACGTTCTTTGTGAAATCTACTCTATAGTGGCTCCTGTGACTCTGTGTTTTCATCCTACCCCTCCAGTCATTACTTCTTTGGAAGAGACTCTTCACCCACAGCCAAGCTTTGCCACAACACTTTGGTCTTTGGCCCGTTTCCCTGCTCCCTCCTCCCTGTGTTGCTGAATGTATGTAAACATACATTTTACTATTATTTCTATGTGGACAGCTCACAAATCAACCTCTCCGATTCAGATCCCATTTTGTTCCAAACAACCCTTACCCTTAGATCTTTATGAGGAAGACTAGCCTTGCTCATCCTCAACATGGCTATAGCAGGATGATTAATACCGCCCTAATCTCATTCTCCTACTTCCTTTCTTGATCAAGGTGGAGAACACAATCTTCTCCTAATTGAGACGCATAACCCATGCATGGTCGTCTGCTCTGAATTCTCCCTACATCCTCACATCAAAGTTCTGAATCACACCTTGTTGAGTTTTTTCTGTGTAACTTATCAAAGATAGGGA